CTTTATTATCTTTGTAATACTTCCCAGGTACCAGTGGTATTATATTCTGTCTTGGAAATGGGACCTACAGACTACATCATATTCACACACCAGTTGGAGGAGAGGGCACAGCAGATGGGTCCATTGCTCATCACAACGTCCACTTGTTCTAAAGGGGAAAGCGGGGGCCTAAGACAGCATGTCTTAAGTTGTGTAATAGGCTTTTAGTGTCACAAATGAAAGTCACACGTTTGCTTTTTTTTATCAGGTTGATTTTTTTTCTTTTCTTTCTCTTTGGACTGAGAGATTATCTCAGGGATAAATATGGACTTATAAGCAAACTGTATAACATAAACCAGGACCGCCGGAGAGAGGAGGACAAATTTAGGAATAATAATATCAAAATTCATCACTTTTTCTTGAACGGTGTTCATGACTAATGCGTCAATCTCTGCTGTGTGACAGCAGTTGCCATGGCATTTGGCATGCAGTTTCCCCCCATTGTAAAATCCTCCTCTGTGTTATTTGCCTCTATAATTTTGAGTGGGCTTTTTTAATGCATTGACAGCTGCCTTCTTTTTTATGATTACTTTGCTCCAGTGTGAAAAATCATACAATTCTCCTTCTATTTTAACAAAGCACCTATTTCATTCTTGCCCACTATACGAGCGTGCCATCACTTCATATCACAGGTCAACGTTACGGCGCTTAATTATGTGCCGGCTGCTTGGGGCTTCTAATAACCTGTCATTGAGGGGAATTTGAATGTCACACCATTTTGTTGGGCCCTAATGGCAGCAGGCAGATCCACTGATGAGCCGTTTTGGGACAATTACAGCGGATATTCAAATCATTGGTCTGGCTGTGTGGTGAACTGCAGTACGCACGACCTGACAGGGGTTTGACCAACGTTGTGCGTGCACGTGCACGCGCTCACGCACGCACACACTTGTTGTGGGTTTTCTCGACCCAGCAAAACCACGAGGAAGCTGCTCTCCCTCCTCCACAGAGCTAGTGCTGAAAGAGTTTCACTGTAGCCTGATCGCTTTTATTATCCGACTAATCCAGATATCAGCGATTTCATCAAGCCGGGAAGATATGCATGTCATGAATTATTTTGACACTGGGACCTTTTAATTTTCGCCGGCAATATTTCATCCCACCAATCAGCGCCTGGAGTGGTTGTCGCCGGGCGGACGCGGCGGTGTCAGAGGACGAGACTCCCCCCGGTGGATCCAAATCATCCGGGGAACAATAATGAGCTATGGCCACAATTACGAGTTGCCTGTGTGTGCATGCAATCTCATCAAGGACTCCATGCAAGCTGCTACAGGAAGGGAAGCACGCAGAGAGGTGCACAATGTAAAACAAATAAATAAATACATAAAGCACATTTTAAAAAACGCACTATAGGATGGGCTTATACTCAACTAGTTGTTCAATCAGTAATGGAAATAACTTAATCGCTGCTTTGCGATTGTTTTCATTAGATACTTAAAGTGAAAGAGAAAGGGTTAAAATGCTGGTTTAAACTTCCGCAACACTGCATTTGAGCGAGTGGACACAGAGAACAAGAAAATCTGCAAAAAAAATGTTTTAAAAAATGTAATATTTCAATAGATAACGGATATTTTCCCATCATGTAAAAATACAGAATTTTCCTGTCTTTTTACAAGACATTCAATTAATTAAAATAGTTATTTTAACATTGAATTGACAGAAATTCTTTTGTATTTTAACTGATTTTCTATATTAAACAAACGATATTTACAATCGTGTAAAAGCAATGAAATAACCTAACAATAAGGTCAAACGCTGTTCTAATTGCAATTAACTAGGCTTAAAAGAAAAGTGCTGTTATTAGTTCGGTTTTATTATTTGATTTTGTGCAAAGAATTTTGTACTTTTGCTGGATGATTAATGTAATTACATGATATACCACCCATTTAAGAATGTCAAAATTATGTTGCTAAACTAGTAACTGTGTTTGTAATCACAACATTTTACTGTTGTTTTTGATTATATCAGCTGTAAATAGGTTTTTGCGTCTATTGCAACGCACAAACCTATTTACAGTCTATCCCAACTTAAAAAGTAACTTTTACAGTATAATACTACAAAAAGTTCTAGCAGCCATTCTACTTTATAGAGATATAAGCTTTAAATGTGTGTGTGTGTGTGTGTGTGTGTGTATATATATATATATATATATATATATATGTAGTAAAGATTGAAGCATTTTAATGCTCTTATATTTTCATTGCAGTCTTCCATTCTGCATATGGATGCACACAAACCATAAAAGCAGCTTATGATGCATTTTGCAAAATGTGCCTGCGCATTGCTATCCCACCACTAACATCATATGGTTCTTACATAATAGTTAACCAGTATTATATAACACTGACAGGAGCTATTCCACTTTCAGGACTGTACCCCGTTTGGGCAGCTCTTATTTTTAGTATGTAACCTAGGAAATGCAGAAAATGTGCTTGTAACACAAACTCTTTAACTGAAATAAAAATTTGTAAAATTTTCTGATAAAGCTGCTCCACAACGCCAGCGTGAGCTATAAGAGTCTATTAATTGTTAACACAGCTTTTGCCAAGGGTTGCCAGGTTGCATTATGTAACTATAATGGCTTAGTTGTAAAGTTAGAAACTAATGTGTTGTACTGCAGTCCTCAATTAAGGTTTATAAACAACATTTAAAGTAATAGATGATGTATTCCACATTAATACATATAAAGATACTTTTTTAAAAGATCATCAGTACTCTAAACAAGTAAAAACACCCCCATCAAACATATTTTTTATATATGTGTTGTCCTCACACTCTAACAAAAGCTACATCCAGTTTAAACTCACACAGCATTACATTCCTGCAGCGCACAGGGCCTCAGGTCTTAGTGTGATATGTGGACTGTGTAACTTAATACTCTGTGTCTTTACCCAGCTCCCTGAAGAGCGGGTATTATGTGAGCAAATTGGATGCTCAAACAGTCAGTCCGTGACCTTCCCTCATCCTGGATGTTGACCCCCGTATAAAGAGAGACATTACATCTCGTTACACAACAACACGGCTCAGGCGCTTCGCTCCAGATAAAGAAAAATGTCTCAATTAAATCTTCACTGGGGCCCCCTGCCGAAGAGTTATCGCTGCCCCGGTAGCGCTGATCGCTACACTCACACATCCTCAAAAGTTATTTGACATAAATTGCCAGAGTCACATCATTTCCTGCCACACTCTGAGCAGGATTTACAGCTGATCCCATTGACTGGGAGCTGAACCTCCAATAAAATTCCTCAAGAGCCCGTGGGGCCATGAGATGCACCTATCTACCCTTCATCAGACCCCTCTTCCCTGCTTGCAGATTAACCATGCAAATACACACAGGTGGGAGGGTGATACCGACAAAACATTTATGCACATTTATGCAACTGGGCTGATATGAGGGAAGGAGTGCGCACAAGACAGGCTGATTGGGTTTTATCTGATGGGGGAGATTAGAAAGGAGGGAATTGGAAGAAGAAGAGAAAAAAACCTAAAGGAGAGTGAATTATCTAAAGCTTTAATTGGAAAATGAGAGGTGAGTGCCGCCCATTTTCTCTGGAGGATATCAAAGCATATCTCCTTATATTAAAGAGAAAAAATCTAAGAGTGGTAAGGTCATTGTTAGACAAGCATATCAGCTCTTGGAAAAAAAAAAAGTAAAGCTGAAAATGGCTTATCATTAGCGCTAAGGGCACTGAAGAGAAAGGTGTGCACTTAACTACAAAAAACAACCTTATGGCTGCATTAGTTACGTTAGCCTCGCAGATATTAGACCGAGGTGAATAAAGCGCATTAATGGCTGCGGTCTCTTAATGGTCATGATGATTCTTGCTCAAGTTCAAACCTACCAGATGGAAAGGGAGTTTCAGCATGGGCTTTCAATAATCATCTTAGGTCATCTAATTACAAACAACGTTTTCATCAGGTGAGGAGATTTATACTCGGGACCACTCACTTTCTTGTTTGCCGTCTTCCCCAGGCTGCTGTCTCTCTCTAGTGGTGATGCGTGAGAAACAGGGACTTGTAGGCCTTTCATAACAAAAGTCTACCATCCTGTGTGTGTGATTCGCTTTTGAAATAATCAGGGTAACGTGCTAAACTGTTGCCTCTATTAAAATAGTGAGAATGTGCAAGCTTTTAAAGCCCCAACTCACATTTGTACAAATGTCTCAATTTTAATATCCTCATAATGGGGAAGAAACAACAGCTAGTTAAGTAGTCAGCGAAGGCAGGAAGGTTATTTGTTCATAAACAAGTCTGACCTCCTTTAAAATCAGCCACATTAAGTATTTGTTTCTCTTTTTTTGGCTAATATTTATTGATGTGTTTTAAATATATTGATTTGCTTTCTATTCTGTTTGTTTGCCTGTCAAAGATCATACCTGAATAACAAAGTTAAATAATACTGAATTTACAAGCTGTGTTAATACTGGTTTTTATCATTTCATTTCACATTTCTTTCATTTTCAGGATATTTTCCAATAAAAAACAAAGCATTAGTATAAATTATAGCCTCAGAAGACTAAAGTTTTCTGTCAACATTAACATAAAAATGTTATTTTAGGTCACTGTTCATCCAGAGGATACAGCAGATAAGTGAAGGCCTTCTCTACAGCTTGGCACAGCATTTCATTGGAGGCTCAGCAGTAGCCACATCAGCAGCAGCAGTGGCTTCGGGGCCTCCAGCTGGGGTTGGCTGCTGCCTCTGCCTGCCTACCAGCACTGAGGCTTTGGGGGGGGTAGAGTTGTGGGCAGGCCACAGGATTGCCCTGGGGCACGTCGCTCATGCACCAGTAAAGAAAACTGAAATTCTGTGCTAGGAATGCTTGCTGCCCTCAGCGATTTGATTTGACAAAGTGAGGTCTGGAGCGCTGGTGTGAGCACTGCACATGGCAAGAAGAGGAGAGCAAATGATAGGTCAACGAAATCTGTTAAAAAATAAATAAATAAAAACGCAGCAGACAAAATTTGATTTGTACCTTTATCATTATTTGCATTAACAGTGTGTGGAATTCTACATTTTTAAGATCTGCATACATTATACTACATCTGCTGACAGTGGATGTCTGTACACATGAAGTTACATGTCTGAGGACTCAGTGGTTCTCTGTCAACCGTACAGCTGTGGCAACTCTAAAATTAAAAAGAATTTACACTTCGATCGACACATACGGACAATTCTGAACATTGTTCAAGTATTTCTTCCCAGTATGAGCCCAGACAGAAAACGTTAGAACGAAACTGCACATGGAGGTTTGTGAAAATGGACACGTTAATGATGCGACTTTAATACTGCTCACAAGTCTTGTTTTTTAGCTCACACCTTCTTGTTCAAAAATGTTGATTTTTAGGCTGTTGTTGAACTACATTAAACACATAAGTGATTATTGCTTTTCCAGAGGGTTTATGGTTTATCAGTTGAGGTTATTCAGTTCGAATCCTTGCCGTTCATCTCTTTGCCACCTACGCTCCATCAAAAGAATAAAAGACAGGATGCTCGAATACATCAAAAAATCAAAACAGAGTGATTTAGTTGTAAGGGTTACTTTCTCTTTTAAAACTCACTAAGAGGATTAGTGTTAACCGTCTGAACCTCATAATCCAACTTAAAACCATTATTACTAAAACTCAAAAAAATCCTTCACATGTATCAGATTTTAGGGAATCAGCCGCCATTTACAACACATACATAACCATACCTTTCTTACACTACTGCTCCTATGCCAGCGTTACTAAATCCTCTATATGGATGTGTGTGTGTGTGTGCGTATTTTGTTGAGCATGCACCAGCATGATCTCTGCTTTAAGGACACTGCTGGCTAAACTGAAAACTAACCTTATCATCATGAGCCGCTAAAATACTGTAAAAAATGTCAGTGGAAGTACAGGTAACACTGGAAGCATTTGACAAACACACAGCTAATGGGTTTGTCTTCACCATGCTGATACACGGTTCCACTAAAACTACAGATGATCATAATGCTGATGTGAGGACAGGAAGCTGAAAGCAAATGTAGCCTAAAGTCGACAGACACTGCAGGGCTCGCGGTTGAACACTCCTTCTTATTAGAAGACCAGAAAAGTCCTGTTTTCAGACACAAACAAAGACATCTAGGGCTTGTTCGTTAATCAGCCAACAGGCCGGTTAGTTGTTCCTCCAGAGTGCAATGCAGTCTAATACATCTGAGTCAATGTGTCCTCTTGCTGGTGTCTATTTACTATTTCTACTGAAGTGATGTCCCTTAGTGGGCAGAACACCAGAGGAGGGGGCAGCTGCTGCCAGCAAACAACAAACATTAAACATGCTCGGAGCTCTCAAATAGTTTGAATGAGTGATGAATAAATAATAATTACAGTGAAATGTCAAAGAAGGCACACACAATAACCAAGGAGGTCAGCATCAGGCAAATTGGCACAAAGGTGTAAAAACATGCTTTAAAAACAAAAGAAAAATGGAGGGAGAGGCAGAAATTACATTATTAGGAAATTACAGGATAAAAATATGAAAAATATGTGTTAATGGGGCTATGATTGCAATTAGACATCAGGGGGAAAAAATCATGCACAAAAAAAGAGATCACTCTATTTTCAAGATACACAAAAATCGCCTCAAAAAATTAAAATAAACCTGCTGCAACCCAGTCGACGCAGCGAGACACATTCCCAGAAAGCTATTTGGTTTCATTCAGTCCTCTGGCTATGTCTTTTAGTTACATATGCAGCTAGTATATAGTTGTGCACATACAGCCAGTAGTGGGATGTGTAGCTCGTAATAGATGTACGCAAATTATTGCAGGCTTCACCTGACAGTCCAGCTCTTGCTGCACACGTGTGGCTGGGCTCTATGTGCTTTGGAGCTGGGAGTCTAGACTAGTGTAGGGCTGTGAGGCAGGCTGGAGCCTGGAAGGAGGCTGAGAGATGCTAAGTCTGCAGCTGGATGGTACCGTTGACAAAATAGGGAACAAAGAGCAGATCACGCGAAGCTGTCACCAGTAGAAAGAGCGTGACAGGAAGTTGGCAGCCGTACTGAGCCAGCCCATGCCGTCAGTGATAGATCCTACACGCGTGACAGCTTTGTCCTGCTCCTGGGAGGGACTCTCGTCCTCAGGCAGGTAGTCTGGGATGTCTGTGTTTTCCTCGACCACCACCGCTGAATCCTCCTGGAATGGCACCATCAGCTGCACACAGTCAGGGGTGGTAAAAAAAGTGAATAAAGTGCTTTTTTAAGCAAATACATAGGATTAGGTGGGTTAGCATAAAGCTCAACTGTTTGGCAACAGAGTCTAAAACCACAGTTTAGGTTCAAATACAGCAGTGAGACAGGTCTGACCCCTGCTGGCTGCACGGTAAACTGCTACTTTCTTGTAATTACTAAAGCAATAATCACTCAAAATATTTATAGGGTAATAGCTTATTTTTTATAGAGTTGGTAAAATTATGCTCTTTGAATGTGGGCCACTGCAGAATGGGGACTATTTGCTGTAAAAGGTGCAACAAGGACTAGTCATGTCTTTGGCAAAAAGCAAACTAGCCTACAGGCTGAGGCAGAGATGTGACTAGCTAATCATGTCAGTGTGAATAAGTCTCAGCCACAGGCAGGGGGATAGACTCCCTGTCCACAGATACACACAACATACAGCGAGCACACTGACCTATCAGCTGGGGGCTTCAAGGGGGAAATCAGTTTTATATAAAGGAGTTTAATGTAAACAGTGCAAGTCTAACATTGCTTTGATTCCCACAGTCCTCTTTACCTCTCCTCCATCCTCTGTCTTCACCACCTGCTGAGCCATCAGTACTTTGGTGGAGTTAATGGCCGTTCCCAACGCCTAGGAGAAGAAAATGCATTTCATTTCAAAAACAGTATACAACGTGATGATACTACTGGGCCAGCTATCCTGTGCACTAGTGCATCTGGTACCAGTATCAACATGAAATATTTGCCATCCAACAAATGTGATTACTTATATGTGACTTGTTAAGATACGTTCTGATTTAATATGCTAGGAATGACAACTATTTTATATTTAAAATACCAATTTTAAAAACAACTTCCAAGACTGTTAATGATAAAGCACGAATCATCCATAGATTAATACATGCTTTCCAAATGAAACTGGTATTAGCCTTAAAGTCAAAATATGTGTCCCTGAACTCTAAAAGAGATTTTCTGTGTCCGGACAGACATTTTACCTCAGCTTTAAGGTCAGAGCGGATCCTGACAACACATCTCTTAACAGCCATCTGGAAGGTAAAACTAATGACTCCTCGAATCTTCAGCAAGGCCTCCTCACACAGGCTCCTTCGAGTCTGAAAGCAGGAAGTGACACAGTGACCATTAGGAACAGAAAGAAGAAGAAATTCTGTCTTAGATATACATTTATAAGCTTGAAAATGTGATATTTTTTTTTCAATTTTAACTGAATATTTTAATGATAAAATAATAAACTGCTATTTAAAACTCACTTTTGGGAAATAAATTATAGATTTTTAGTTTCTAGCTTCAACAGCGTTGTGTGTTTCTGCTAAGGAGACAGAGAAGCAGCCCACCAGAGGCCGTCTGTCTGCTGTAATGTAATCTGGCTAGGTGAAAGCTTCCTGGGGAGCAGCATTCAGGTTCAGGCTCAATGTCCTGCTGTTCAGAGGCTGACATTTACAACCTGACCCCTCTGCCCTCTTATCATGTGCCAGATAGACACCCTTATGATGTTTGGAAAACACGGTGATTATGACAGCAGCAAACATGAGACTCTTGTGCACTGTGGACATTTGGTATGTGTCTGGTCCTGACAGAAGCCTGACGATACGCTGTGTTAAGACTTCAATGGACTTACAGAATCGTCCAGTCCATCAATGTGCAGCACGACAGTTTTGGCCCTCTTGTTGTTGGAGCCCAGGAAGAAATGGGCTTTGCGCCGGCAGGAGGCAGCAGCTGCCTCGGCCTTCTCAGCCTCTTCTTTACCAGCTGACTGCAAAATCTCATAGATCTCTGAGGCCAGCAGTTTGGTCTCCCCAGGTGAGGTGCTCCTTCGGTGACAAAAAGTACATGTACAGATGAGTTACTAGCCCACCTGTGAAGTTTTTTTCCCAAGTGCATTTTAATAGTGCAAAAGGGATTTCCAACATACAGTTTCCAATTATATTAATTTTAGAAAGCATAAATTATTTCTATTTGCACACAATGAAAAAAAAATTATTTAAATTACCAGGTTCATTATTATTACCTACCAAAAAAACTGAGCTTTGTTTTGTTTTAGCCATAGCACTCAAGACTCAAAGCGTATAAAATCAAGGTAAATGTAGCCAGTTCAGAATTGAGAAAAGAATTGTTGACGCTCAAAAAGCAGGGGACGGACACGTTGAGTGAGAAGCGTCTAACAATCCCAGAACAACTGTCACGACATTAATAAATGACTTCGCCAAGTTAGGAATTTTAGTCTTAAAGGAGACAATCACTAGAAACCTGCACAGCAATGGACTGCGAGGTTGTAGACCAACAAAAACGCCAATACTGCAAAATAGAGACCTGACTTACTAAGGATAACCAGGAAAAAGATCATATATATTGGAAGCACATACGTTACTCAGAAGAGATGAAACTGAAGCTCTTGGCTAAAGAGATCCTGCTCATGTTTGAAGAAGGGAGAGGCATACATCCCAAAGAACACCATCCCCACAGTGAAATGCTGTGGTAGAAGTATGCTGTGGGGATGCTTCATTGTGACTGGAGCTGTGAATCTCATCAAGATGGAAGGAATTATGAGGAAAGAAGGATATGGGAAGGTTTTAACAGAAAACCTCAAGCAGTCAGCAGCAAAATGGCTCAGTGCCGTCGCTTCCGACACAACAAGAACCCAAAGCATACGTCGCCCCTGGTAAAGACCCACCTCCAGAAGACCAAACTGAATGTTGTTGACTGACCTGCAAACAGTTTTGACCTGAATACCACTGAAAATCTGTGGAGTGAACTAAAGACCAAAGTCAGTGCAAGGAGACCATCAAAGAACTGTGAAATGTTGTTGATGTCCAAGCAAGTGGTCAGCGTCACCCTACAGAGCAGAGCTGAAACTACCTGATAAGTCTCTGGATGTCTTTTTAAGTACATCTGTACTGAAAATAAAGGTGCAAAAGCTGAAGTAATTCTGATGCAAAGAATAAATCAGCTAATTTAGGCTTGTGAAAATGACAATTAATGTGAATGAAAGTAGAAACGGTATCGCCAAAGCCTGCATGACTCTGTAGGAAGTGTGAACTGACTCATAAAACTGAAATTAATTAGAGCTGCAACAGACAGAAATCTAGAGAATTAAACATTTGAAAGTAAGTAGCCCCTTGCAGGTATCCAAATTCGGTATGAAAGCCTAGGGCTGTTCGATACAGCGATATATATCGGATGACGATATAAAAACGTCTATCGTTTCATTTTATGCTATCGTTTGTTTCGTGGTGCCCTAAACTTTTTACGGCAATATTTTTCATCGTTTTGATGGTCACTGTAGTGGCTATATTAATTTCTTAAGTTCTCTCTTTGTCTTATTTTTAATATAACCACACTACCGACGAACAAGCGCCTGTTTTTATGTGTTGTCGTTAGCAACAATGACGGTAAAACCCTGGCGTGTCCGCTTATTTATTTCCCACATAAACCTTTCACAATAAACCTCAAGATCCTGTTGAGACTTTTCAAAATAAACTGAATCATGTGAATGAGTATGCAGAATATTTACAGATGAGAAGCAAAAAAGAGCAGTCAGTTGCTAAAAAATAAACTTTAGACTCAGACGTTAGAACAGGCTTTTCCCTGCAGCACGCCGTGTAATAAATACTCACAAAGAAAACAGCGGCCGTTACAACTTATGTCTAAAAATGTGTAGTTTCATGCATCGGTTAAAACACTCGCCCAGCTGGAAACACTAAAAGCAAGTCGAACTGCCCGAGATTCACAGAATTTACAGAAAATGTAAAATTTTTGTGAATTATATCGTTATCGGGACGATAGATGTCTTATATCGGGATATGAGATTTTGGTCATATCGCACAGCCCTATGAAAGCCTCTAACAAGCAAAGTATACATGGTGGGTTTCATGCACTGCTTAATAATCATCACATCAAGATCTATGTGTAGCTGAAGTCTTTCATTACATGTTTGATGTTTTTAATAGTCCGAGTCTAAAGTCCACTTATAACAGTCAGATAGAAATATGCTGAAGTCACTAGTTGTTATTATTATTATTATTTTTTTTTTTTGGTAATGCCAAAACTATGTTACGCAGGTTTAATTCTAAGCTTTGTAAGCATCCCCATTGTTCTGATTCTGGAAATTAACAGGCACCCACATTCACAGGAAGCCTTTAAAGGCAACTCATCTTTGCATCGCTCTATTCCAAAATTGTTTGTGCAACTAAAGACAATGTTGCCATTAAAGACACGACAACTGAAACACAAGTTAATTATGCCTATTCTGCACTGCCGTCAGATGTGCTACTGTCCCTTTTGCAAAAATCTCACAGCAAAGCACAATATTTCACGGGCAGCAGCTTTTCGCAAGAAATTCATGTGAGGTCAGGAGCCATTGTTGTGCCAGAATTGATATTTTATGAGGGATCCTGGGTTCCTCCTGCAGGCTATACTGCTTCATGTGTCACCAAGTCATCACTCCTTCCATATTAACCACATATGACATTAGCTGTCTGGCACTGCCACCCTCTGGGAGCCTGATGGTCCACAGAGCTGTGCCACACATTCCTAACGCAGCTCTGCAGAAGCCTTCCAGCAAACAAAACACTCTTATGAGTTAATTCATTAAATATACTTAATACTTAATAATAATCACTGAAGAAGATAAGGCTACCTGAGAGCTTAATGACTTAAGGGTTTAAAAATCACATTCACACCCGTTTTGTACAACAATGCTAGACACTTCCCTTTAGCCATGTGTTCCCACTCTGTCCAGCTACTAACGACCTCCACTCAAAGTCAGCATGACTGGGCTGTGAGCTCAGAAACTTGCTGCTGTTCCTGCAGGGCTACTGTTCATGCCAACACCTACGAGCTGGAGTGACTGGCTTACTTTACGGTTAGCATGAGCTATTGCCACAGGTGCTTCTAGACACTCAATCAGATAAAAGCAGTTGTCTCCCTTAAAAATGACACGTGCATGATCATGTTTTTAAAAGCAGATCTCATTATATGCAATGTGCAGTCAACACAAAAAATATAAAATTACCATGTCTGCAAGATATTTTACTTACTGCACAACAAAACAAGTGCTAATATACGCCTACATCAATTAGCAAATGCACAAAGAGAACTTTCAGAGACGACAAAATGGATTTAAATCTGTAACGTGCAAAACTGCATTTTAAGCCTTTGTCACCCTATTCTAGTTCAACTTTCATCACACATTCATCCTGACATGGCAAACAGAAGGACATCAGCCTGCCTGGAAAATTCTGCAGCGTGGCAAACACTGTCCATGCACAACAATTAAAAAAAAAAAAAACATGTTGAAGGTTTCATGTAAAGAAAATGCACTGTGAGCATGTGTGTCCATGCTCTGTGTGTGTGTTTGCATGTGTGTGTGTGTGATGGGAACATGGACTTGCTTCTGCATGACATTCTGCAAACTCAGCATCATGCCCAGTTCGCCCTTCATCTTCTCTCTGTTGGCTCGACATTCTGCCAGGTAGCGCACGGCCTGCAAGGACAAGGGCAGTTGTTATCTATTTGGCCATAAAAGTTGAAAGACGCTTTGTGATATTAAAAGAAAGAAAAAGAAAAAAAGGCATGACTTTAAAAAGGGCATGCATGTGCAAACATTAAATGTTACATAACCGATATAAATACAAATGTACTGCCTTTGTGTTTACCGGATAACCGAAAAAAGTAGTTATATAAAGCCACTTCAAATGTGTGCACACAATGTGAACAAATGGCTATAGAGGAAGTCGTGAAGGGTGGCTATGTAAAGCATAGTGTTTACACCACATCAAACAGCAGATGTCCCTATTGTGCAGTGTTTCCAAATATGGACCTTTTTTCTTTTTTTTCTTTGAAATTGCACCATGTGCAAGCTTGTGACTGAATGTTACACACAGGTGGAAAACATGCCCTTTAAACGGTCACTGAAACCTGTTCTGACACTGCAGGACAGCAGGGGAGGTTTTCCCTTACAAACCAAGTGTTTTGTGTTTTATGTGACCACATACTTACCAATAGTGCAGAGTAGACAACCTGTGGATTTGGATGGTCCAAAAAGAGGATAAGACCTGGCAGACAGCCTTGGTCTTCTACTATGGCTCTTCGGTTCAAGGGGTCTGCGGCAAGATCCCGCAACTGGTTCACCACAGTCAGTGCATCCATCTCTGCACTCATGGTGCTTCTTGTCTCGATGCCACACACATTAAAACAGTCTCTTCCTAAAATAAAACGATAGAAGATTTTAGAAAGCTTATGTTGAACAACTCAGAGAAGCAGCTAATTTGAGTTTTTAAAAGACCTTTTCTAAATGAAATCTAATTTTCACATCTTTTACAATTTGGTAACACGCTCAAAGATATTCGGTTTGGGATCATTTAAAGCCAAGCTCAAAGCAGTGAATGTTGTTGACAGTGTGGCCTTGCACTAGACTAACTCTCTGAATAATTTTTTGCTTATTAACTAGGGAGGGACCTTAGATCATGTGATTCTTCTGTTGTTCCACAGAGAACAACAAAAAACATTTGGTGATGCTCTTTCCAGACTTACAGCTAAAAACATCTATATTACACAGGTAAACGAACAATCTATTAATTTGGACCTATAATATAATTTTATATATGTAATCACTTTAATTTTTATTAGCTTTATTGAATGTATTCATTTTGCTAGTCATATTTCGTTGATCTCTTCGTTCACTTTTTTGTTTTAAAGTGTATAAAAGTCTATACAGCTTTATCTTCTTGTATCCAAGTCACTTGTAAATATTTATAACTTGATGTCTTTAGAAAACAAAGTTGGGTTGATTGTAAATCTTACAACGTTTAAACTAACTTGCTGCAAACCTATGTTAATGGTACAATTTCTAATAATGTTAAGCGTTAGCGGCAAGTTCTAACTACTAAACACTATATCAGCAATAACATGTGTAAAACGTACAGTGCAGTCTGACTGAGAAGTGGATTATAACTACACAGCTACACATGTATGATAGTTGTCATACTATCTGAAGATCGAGTAGTTTAGCGTTGTATGAGGCACTTGAACCAGTACTTTAATTTGCGTTAACCCAAATACAGATGCTCCTTTCAGTGAAAAGACACTTTCTACGACCCCTAACCTCACCTCAAATCACGCCCTGTGAGACGGTCCGGGCTATGCTAGCTAGGCTAGCAGGCATTACTTGACAATTGGAGCATACCTTCCTGTCAGTTTTCGTGGAAACCAAGAGACAATTCCCCGTGACTTCGGCTACGACGGATTCAAAGACTGCGCAACAACAAAAACCTACGTTACAAACAGCTAACCCCAAAACAAGAGAAACGAAATTATTTCAGTAACGCCAGGCCTGCGCCTCTATCTCCCCTTTGCCTATTTAGCTAGCAGCTGTGCACTGCACTGTGTTTGTGTTTTGTGGCGAGCAAATGGGGTACAGCTGTTTCTTCATAAAGGACATCCCATTTTTCCACCAGGATCCTAACAGTTTAACTGCGACATAGCTCCGCCGGGAAATGTAGGGAACTATAACGAACGTCCACATATTTGCTAGCATGTGGTTGGATGGTCTGGTAGAATGGACTGTCGTGATAGCAAATCACGAGACAGATATGTTTTAGAGTTCAATGCTAATTGGTGACTTTCTTTGCCAATCAATTATAATAACCAATCGTGAGGTTAATCTACGTAATCGTTTTTTTCAATTGGTTCAAAACGCATTCCATAGGTCCTACTATGTTAGCCACTATCCGCTGTCCATGTCCGTCGTGTTGACAAGGTGGAAAAATTGAGAAAGTTATTCTACAAGCGCAAGTCCGGTAAGTTGGAATGGAAGTAAGGCGCATACTGATCTTTGGATGTGAATACAATATAAAAACACGTGGTGATAGTTGTCTCGGGTACGTTATAAATTATTATAAATGTGTGTTTCTAGGTCAAATCCTTATAAAATTCATCGGATTGTATTAGCTTGCCAGCTGCTATCATTAGCCGGTTAGCATAAATGCCCGCTAAAGTTGAGACTCACTCATTTAGCTTAATCATACACTCTATAGATATGTTGGTCTGTGTTAGGCTCAAAGCGCTTGTTCCCACGCTTATCCTGTTTCGGTAATAAGAGAAGGAGAATTTGTGGCTTATTAATGTTATATAGAAAGGGAAACATATAAATATTCATATCAGTGAGGATTTACAATGTAAGAGCAGCCAAATTGCAAAAAGAAAAAACCATTGTAAATTTTAGGGGGGAAAATCGTTTCTAATTTTTAACATAGCAGAGATTTATTTATTTATTGTTCCAGAGCATCTTAACGCTGTTATACTGTAGATACACAAAGTTCTTCCATTGTTGTTGTTTTAAAGTGTTGTGTTTGATGGTGGTTGAAACTGACTTTCTCACTCTTGTTCTGTATTTCTTCTAGATGACTGGTTGGTGATAATGATGTTGATGTTGGCACGTGTGCCAGTGTACCCTTGAAACGAACCGACAAGAATGAGCAAAGAGTATGCAAGGATGGAAATGGACCTGGTATGTGACAAATTAGATTAAACACAGATATTTGTTGTTAGTCAGGTGACGGTTTCACATTGACTGAGCTGTATTTAGTTGAATAAAAACTTGGCTGTACCCAGTTAAGTTATTATTCAATTGCTTTGAATTGAATTATTATTGCTTTTTCTGTTTCAGGCTTTTGGATCAGTAAAGCCTTATGGGTCCTCGAGAAGTATTGTGAGGAGAATTGGTACAAGTCTCCCGATTAAACCCTGTCCCAGGGTAAATTTTCAGGTGAGGCCAAGTTACTCTCATTAGAGCTTTTTTTTTTTTTTTTTTTTTAAGTTTTGTCTTATTGAAAGCAAATTAGAATAGAAAGTTTTTTCTTTTAAGACAATGACGTGTTGTCTCTCTTATGAGTCATTCCTTTCTCTTCATCTGTTTTCACGCACGTCTCTCCTACCTGCTGGAGTCACTGCCATGTGACAAAATCACATGCCCTCTTCAACTTTTGTTTACCTCTGCTCATCTGACTGTTTTCATTTTAGAACCATAAACAGTTTGGGTGAAGGGATATTTGATTAGCACTCGAACACTGACTTTAACCTTTAAGAATTTGATTACCATTTTAAAAATGTTAAAAACTGACTCGCTGTTCTTCACTTTCCTTCAACTCTGTGCTTTTCTCTTCTTTTCTTCTGTCTCCAGCTACCCTCCGTAGCTATGAGGAATGCAGTATGTCTGCTGTAGGTCAGTTGGTTCAGCAACCTTCAACAACCTTGAGCTGACTAATTCCTACTGAGCTACCTGAACCTTTGATTAACAATGTGTAGATGCTCTTCCTCTAAACTAACCTTATTTTTACTGAATGATTTTCTAACATTAGTTGTTGTATGTGTGCCTGGTGTGCTATCATCAGGCTTTTTTTTCCCCCCCCTCTAAGCATTTTTTTTAAAATCCTCCTCTGATAGCTTTATCCATACCATGATGAAGCTGGTGTCTTGATTGGCAGCAGGAGGCAGAACTGCCTGGTGGCCACTCTCGCTGATGTCGCATGGATCGACAGGGATGAGGATGATGAAGACGACTATTTTAGCAGGCCGAGGTAAGACTATAGTCTGTAGAAAGATATCTCTGAATCAGGCTGAAGACTTAAGCGCTTGTAAAGAGTTACTAGAAGCAGACAGTTTTATTTCAAATCTGCAATGGAAACAGGTCGGGAATCCCACCAGGACTCATGTTTCGAGCCCACCGGCCTCACCCTCGCAGAAGTCGCCTAAAGCACCAGAACTCTCTACCCAGTATGCATCATGGAGCTTTGGATTCACAGGCGTCAGCTGCTGCCAACAACGAAGCCATTCAGAAGATCAGTGCGCTGGAGACTGAGCTTGAAAAACTCAGGGCTCAAATTGCACAAATTGTTCTGGCTCAAGAAAAGAGTGCACAGCCAGGTACTACTTAACAATTCTCTTACAAATTTTTTTAAATTGTATTTTAATTTTTTGCAACATACTAAATGACCGTATAGTCTCTTATTTTTCTCTTCATATTTAACTGTAATAATGGAGATTTCCCTCTAGATGGCAGCAGAGTGTCACATGGCGTATACTCTATTTTCTTTCTTTTTTCCTCTTTCTTTTGTGTTACATTTGCTGCTACTACCACAGGGGCACCTCCTCCCCCTCTACCCTGTGGCAACCTGCCACCTCTCCCACCACCTCCACCACCTCCCCCTCTTCCACCCCCACCCGCAAGTCTGCAGCGGACATTTTCGGCCATTGAACTAATAAAAGAGCGTAGAGGGAAGAAGACATGCGGCCAGACAGTTTTGGAGTCAAGACCTGCCGAAATCCCCAGCATGCTCGATGTCCTAAAGGACATGAACAAAGTCAAGCTGCGATCAGTGAAAAGGTAGGCCTCTGCTTAAGACATGAATGAGATACATTTGGAAGTGATGAAAAGTGGCCAGTGAAGTGTTTCTGAGGTGTTTGAAGTCTCATTAGTGAATGCAAGTGCTAAGGGCCTTTCACACCAGACGCACAAAATCCAGGCGTATCTTTTGTGCATTAAAAATATTGTTCGGATTCACCCTTTGTTAATGCAGCAGTTCACACCAGCCATATAATTTCATTGATCAAATTTGTGGCATTTATTTATTTATTTATTTATTTTTTCAATGTTTTGCATCTGACCAATCAGAACGGTACATTTGGCAACATGTGCACTCATAGCTCAAATTGTCCACCGGTACTGAATATACAATGATATGGAAGTAATAAAACACAATGCTATTGTTACCTCTGACACGCACTACTGCGGCTCTCTTAGCTCTCTGCTAACAAGAGTTCAAACTGCCCCACTGACATCCTAAAATATGTACGAGAGCTGATACAGTCTCAACTCCTGGATCAAACCATAATATTTTCCCTGCTGCTGCTGTTACAATTGGATGAATCCAGAATCTCAGCCTCTTCCTTTTCTCATTTAGAAAACTTCATTTATTTTTATTTTTTTTATTTTTTGTTTGTTTTTACAGTTGTTTTCTGAGGGCAAATTTTCTGCAAAAAACGCAACACATTCTTTGTGTGTGTGTATTGGTTACACGTGAAGTTCGGCTCCATAAAATTTGGAATTTCCTGTCATTTTTATGCATTGCGCTCAGTGTGTAACGGCTTTTAGAGTGTGACACAAAAACATTCATCTGAATCTGACACCACCTTGCTAAGTATAAGCTAATTCAAGATGAATCTCCATTAAGTCATTGACTTCATGCATTACTTCAAATTCAACTTCATGTTATCAGACACATAGTGTCGTCTTCTGTTTTATTAAGCCGCTGCTACTCAAGATGTTTGTATCACGCTACATTCCTATGTAGTGCCAGAGCTACTACATGCCCATATTACAGTATTGTGTGCTTTGGTCAGGCTGTTGGAAAACTGATATGTGTAATCACATTGAGAAAAGTTAAAAAAGAAAAAAAAAATAGGGGTGGTAGATGTTGTTTGCCAAAAAATGGGTCATTTTTGCCCGTTGCTAGGTGGTTGCTAGGCATGTAGTGGCTAGGCTATTGTAGTGAAATTAAAACAATAGGATGCTTTCCTCAGGTGTTTTTAGGTGCATAAAGGCTAAAAACACGTCACTGTTGCTAGGCAGTTTCCAGGCTTCATAATACAGAAAGCATAATTCAACTAATTCAATCAAATTAGATGATGTTATCATGAAAATAATGCAAGGTGTTGTAGGGCCGTAAACGTTAAGATCTTCTTAGCATGTTGCTAGGCAACGTGATGACGTTATCATTGTACTATAGTGATAGTAGCGCCCATGTTTATATGTTCCCTATCTCATCCTAGATCAGTGGACTAATCTTGATGAGGTTTTGCATAAACATTGTCTAGAGCACCTGTGTGACGTACACAAATATTTTATACAAATCCCACAGTCGTACATATTTGTTCAGTTGAGCACCGAACGGAATGTCCCACTGTAGAACAGAGTGGAATGTCAGATAAGAACGATATGGCACAATAAAATGTATGATGGCGTACCTGTGTGCCAGGTTTGCTTGTTGATAATTTTGGAGGAGTTCACAGAGAAAGAATCAAACACTCAGTGATTTGGTGTGTTACAGTAACATTGGTAAATGCCCCATCACCTGTGTGTGTTTACAGTCGTCTGGTAGAAGATGATGCCAAAACAAAGTCCAAGGAGCCGGCAGATGCTGCAGCTCTCATCGCCGAAGCCTTGAAGCGCAAGTTTGCTCATCGTCATCGAAACGACAGTGAACGAGATGACACGGAAGAATTCAAAATTCCTGTCATAGAAGCGGAGCCTCAAAAAGAAACCATTCTGGTGAGAAATGTTGATGTATTATAAGGAGGCTTATATTAATTTAAAAAAAACAAAACAAACAAAAAAACAACTTTTATTATCC